CAGTATGTGAAACGGCTACAGCTCATTGCTGCCGATCCTGTCGCTTCGGCCGAGTTCTTCCACGTCATGATCGACGCCGTCATGAAAACGCTGTTGCGTTTCGGGGCCAAAGATGGCGACGGTGGCGTTCTCGGCAGGGTCAAGGCTTACGTCGGCATGACAGAGGAGCAGCGGCGGTTGACTCTTCACTGCCACTTGCTCGTTTGGGTGTATGGCTCAACGATTTCGGCACCTTGCGAGACTTCATGGACAAGACCCCGGACAGTTACCAGGAGCTAGCATCTTTCCTGAGTCGCACCATCTTCTCCCAAGTTGCTTCCGACGAAGACGTCCAACACGCCATGACGGGCGGCATAGAGCCATCAAACGCACCAGAAGATGGTACGCCCCCGCCGTCCCGCGATCCTCTCAAACGACCTGCAACCGAGACAATCGCAATGCCGCCGCCGTCTGCATGCTTCCCGCCACCTGGAGTTGAACGCGATGTCGCCGCCGACGAACAGTATCTCGGACCCCTTCGCGCTGAGCTCGCGGAAATTACAAAGGCAGCCAACATGCACCAGTGCACCTACACCTGCCACAAACACGGTCACGCGAACTCGTGCAGGTATGATTTCTTCCGGCATGTATTTGGTTCGTTTCTTAAGGGCGTGTTTTCGTGCTTTTCTGTGTCTTCTTCATTCCCGATTCTTATGCTTGCTTGNTCTGCATGCTTCCCGCCACCTGGAGTTGAACGCGATGTCGCCGCCGACGAACAGTATCTCGGACCCCTTCGCGCTGAGCTCGCGGAAATTACAAAGGCAGCCAACATGCACCAGTGCACCTACACCTGCCACAAACACGGTCACGCGAACTCGTGCAGGTATGATTTCTTCCGGCATGTATTTGGTTCGTTTCTTAAGGGCGTGTTTTCGTGCTTTTCTGTGTCTTCTTCATTCCCGATTCTTATGCTTGCTTGTTCTCCTTCTTTCGTGCCCCAATGCACCTACACCTGCCACAAACACGGT